AGTTTTGAAATCCAAACAAACAGGTGAAAGTTAATTGCTGGGAATTATGTGGGGAATGATACAAATAAATGACAATATAGCAGGATAATGTTTGTATAAATTTTTAAACAAATGTTTAGTTTCTCAGTGTCATTTTGTTGTGATGTGGAAATTGTGAAAGTTAATATCTATAAAATAACCCTGGTTTACATTAGAATGTGTATATATATATGTATATATATATCAACTACAGCAACACACGGTATAAAGGTAGAATCTGTACAAGTTGTATTAAAATTGTTCTTCAAATTTTACTTTCTTTTTTTTTTTTGTAAAAAAAGCAATATACATGCATCAATATTCATTTATTCCAAAATCAAAATAAGATTATTTCAACAGTAACATGTCAACAGAATGAAACAACATTTAATAACAATATCTTTTTTAGATCAAAATTGGTACCAAGAAAAATGTGGGCTTATTAATGATACAGATCTCTGGAAGTATTCTCAAAAGGATTCTCTTATATATACTATAAGTCAGTAACCTTTAAATTTTGGAGAGGCCTTGTCCTCTTCGTCAAAGTTCCTGTAGTTGATCATAAAATACAATCTCAAAGCATGACTTGAGTACAGACTCTCTTCATTGGGTTTTATGTTTCAAAATATAAAATCCTAAAATTTCTTATAAAATCTGATAAAGATTTATGTTAATGTCAATTTTGAACAATAATTACTTACTTCTCATCCCAGTGTATCAAAATGTTCAAAGAAAAACAAGAAAGACATGATTTATCTGTTGGACTCAGAAGTTCCATAAAATTTCAAAATGTCAACAAGGGTTCATTGCAACACTATAACAAAAATCCCCATAATGTCCTGTGTACTGAAACAATGACACACTGCATAATGTCCTTGTAATGTTGATCATATATAGAGGTATTTTCTCTCCACTACAACAGGCTATAGTATCAAACTCTATCATAACAATGGAAATTCTAACCATCCATTATGATGATAAAACTTCTTTGTACAAAAAGTTAAATTTTAATGGAGTGATTAACCACACATGTGTATTTTTTTCAGAATTCCAATGACCATTCATGGTTATGCTTCAACCTACAAGTCTGGAAAACTTCATTTTGCTTTTCAATCTTAAGCCTCTGGTATCAACCTTCAGGCCAAATGTAAGGTATCAGTTTATACCTCAATTGTCACCCTGGTACAATCAACCTATAATATTTATAGCCTTCTGCCTAGAAATATCAACCTTCAGGCCAAATGTAAGGTATCAGTTTATACCTCAATTGTCACCCTGGTACAATCAACCTATAATATTTATAGCCTTCTGCCTAGAAATATCAACCTTCAGGCCAAATGTAAGGTATCAGTTTATACCTCAATTGTCACCCTGGTACAATCAACCTATAATATTTATAGCCTTCTGCCTAGAAATATCAACCTTCAGGCCAAATGTAAGGTATCAGTTTATACCTCAATTGTCACCCTGGTAAAATCAACCTATAATATTTATAGCCTTCTGCCTAGAAATATCAACATTAACCTGACAATTCAATCTAATTCAATTTACATCAAAAGATACTAAAAAAATTGCTTTTCTCGGTGGTTCAATTTTAGGGGCTTTCCCAAAGCTTGATACAAAAATGCCTTTTTTTGTGGAGGTCATCAATAAATTGAATATGGTCTTTTGGGGTTTTTTTTGGCTAATTTCCTTTTCTTGGCATTTATTTTCACAATTTAATTCCATCTACAAAATTAGTGCCAAAAGAAAATGAATCTCCTCAAAAATGACAATCTGAACAGTAACTGCCATTAGCCTTTAACATTAGATTCAAGGCTATCAAATTCTAATCTACCAATCTTAAGTCTAATGACAGCCACCTTCAGCAAGGCTGTATCCTTCAACAAAATATTCAATATCTCCCAAAACAATAACTTAAATGTGTATTGCTATATGCTGAACTCTGTACAAAATGTTATATCTATAACAATTATTTGTAATAACAGTCTGCATAACTATTGATTAACGAGCTGAAAGACTAATGAGGATCTCACAAGTACTAATTAACAGACAACTGGTAAAGGTTCACTGTGGAGGGGACATATTTCATTCACAAAGGGGCATAACTCTGAACATTTCATTCTTCAATAATAATTTAAATCTGATAAGATATAAGATTTTATCTGTTTTACAAAAATTGTGTTTTCTTCCAAATGAATTATTTCTGTCTATGAATCATCATTTTGTAATTTTTTTAAGCTTTCATTCTATTTTGAAACACCTCTAAATCCAATATTTACTTTTTTTATAACAAATTAATTATTTTAATAAGAAGACTTAGAAATTATATACATTAAATTTTTAGAAATTGATCATTTAATACAAAATTAATGATCACTTTTTTTTTGATATAGTAATACATCAAAAAGGGAAATAATTTCTACACAATAGCAACAAACCATTTTTCAAAAGACATAATTCACAGTAATGAAACATGATTACTTGAAAACTTTTAACAACGAAACACTGAGTAACTGTGTAGACTTAATGCCTTGACATCACTACATGGTTTAACATTAACAGTCAGTGTGTGGTATTTTAAACAGTAAAATATTTTATAATTTTAATTTCATTGTGTAACAGTTTTTGATCAGATTATTAAGGAAACATACAGTATTTATCTGGTCATCAATCGACCTAAAATTATTGCAGACTCAGCAGAAATGACAACGTACATCATTGTCCTGTAATAAGTCTACTTTATGTAGCCAAATGTACGGGAATCTGTTGTACCACTCGTATTAAGCAGATAAATTAATGCATCATATGACGATTCAAAATTCAGAGTACAAAAGTATTTAATCATCAAGATACTTATGTAAACAGCAAAGAAAAATTAGTGATTTTTCTGTAGCAAAATTTTCCTAGTTCATAAATATTTCATAAACACCCTTTTGGTTGTTTAAGCATAATACTTGGGACATTATGACCAATAATTTGCTTGTTTGACTTTAACCTTGGTAATACGAGTCAGTGAAATAATTTGTTTTTATATGTTTTGACGATAACAATGAAGTCATTTGTAATAAGATAATAGAAAAAAAAGGCGCAGAAAACCTTCAACTGTAACAGTATGTGTTTAAGTGGCAGGTGTGTTATTTTAGTGCTTTTTACACTAAATACACTAACAGCAAATTATTCCAGCTGATTACATAGTGATTTTCAAGGATGTGCAAATTTATGACTGCACTAATTTACCAAGAACGGAAAATGCAAGAACATTTGAATGCATGAAATTAAGTACATTTATAAGATTAAATGTCTAATACTTCAACTTCAACATAATATAACAGTTTGGTAAACATCTCTTATATACACTGACTACAAAATCTGCACCAATGAAGTACGTTTACTGTTAAGTCATTAATTTTCAAGGGCAAGTTATTTTTGTTAAATTTGTGGGTACTCTAATCCACACATTGATATGTCCCTGACATTAAACAGATGAAAGTTCACAAGGATTATAGTGGATTTTGTGTGCCAAGGAAAAGGTATATGTTTTTGAAAACCACGAAAATTTGAGTCCCATGAAAATATGTGATTTTACAGTATGTCCGCAAAAATAGTTAAAAAAATATCTCAAATTAAGACATTAATAAAAACTAGTAAAGCATAAAGTTTTCATTGTAGAGAGACATACAGTGTCATTATAATGCTATATGACTTTTTCCCCCAACAAAATATAGTGAACTGTTCCATAACAAAACAGAGATAGAGTCCATTCTTTATATGAGGGTGATAGAACTAGTCATTGACTTTATAAAAATATCTAGCATGCAAATAACAGTCATAAATACATACATAAATGAAAGCACTTGTTATAACCTATATACAATGTTAATGTACAATATCTACAATAGTTGATAACAGGTTTGTATTTTGCAGCCATTTTTAAAGAGATTAAGACATAGCTGGGTCACTTTTGTGTAAGCATTTGAAATGGTTCAATCAGTTTCACCCGCAAAACACCAAGCACAGATCATGACTGGGGCTGGACTTCTAATTACACACCAAGTTCATGGAAGTCATTTGTATTTATTGACTGAATATCATTGTTTTTCAGATTTTCTGTATAAAACAGAATCTATGCACACACACATTTCCAGAACTGTGGGTAAAACTGGAACATACTCTATCATTGCTTCATTGTTTATGCTTGACAGAGATTTATAAAACAGTGCATTTTGATCTCTACATTTGCATTTGGTGCAGTTTGTGTTTACTGTGGATTATTAATTCCCATGCCACTTGAACCATTTCACTGGGTTACACGAAAGTAGCCAAAGTTGATACTTCTAGAGAGCTTACTCTGCTTCACCAAGGGAGCTTACGCCTCTTCACCAAGGGAGCTTACTCCTCTTCACCAAGGGAGCTTACTCTGCTTCACCAAGGGAGCTTACTCCGCTTCATCAAGGGAGCTAACTCTGCTTCACCAAGAAAGCTAACTCTGCTTTATCAAGGGAGCTTACTCCCCTTCATCAAGGGAGCTTACTCTGCTTCACCAAGGGAGCTTACTCTGCTTCAATATGTAGATGTAACAATAATGTTATTCTATCTTCATTAATTTGAAAATCATTTTAGAATCTGAGGTATTATCTCAAAGAAGAAATGTGAAATGTCAGGATCTTCTCCATCCTCAACGAGTAAAAATTTACTGATACAAGGAAACGTTTCAACAACATGGTAATGATATCACTATATCTATATAAAAATAATACAGTTCCAAGTAGGTTTGACATGGAAACACATGAAGATGGTATTAAATAAACTTATGTTTATTACTTACATTTATGTTCTGTGTCATATTGTGTAAATTCTGTTGTGCTCAGAAATTAAAAAACTTCAGAAAAAATTCATAAACAAAAATATGGCAACAGTATACAGTAATAATTTATTGTTGTTATATCTAATGTTGTTCAATTTCAAAACAATTCACTACAGGTACATGATAAAATCTACTAAATATCAAATCTAAATAAACAATTTAACAATTTCTATCAACATGATAGTCCTCCTTACATATACTTTGTATATATAGAAATGGGATTTTTTCTCACCTAGATAATGTTATACATACAACATATATATAGTTTGGTAAAAGTTCTCTCTCGACTAAAAACTTGCAATAAATACTTGAAAGCATCCACAAAAATAGACAAATTTCTCCTCATACAAATCAAGGTAGATTGAATTTTTTTTCAGGAATGGAAGATGAGAAAAATCTCAAGGATGAATAAACATTGGATACATGACAAAGAACTAAAAATTTATCTGCTTCTGGCAGAAAAAATCTGTTGATTCAAATTCCATCAGCAATTATAATCAAATTTTGATAATAATTATTACAAGATATTCAAAATGTGTAATAACCTGTCTGTATACCTTCAAACCAAATCTGTTAATACAGAAAAACACAACTGCATATACTGTAGATATTTTACTGGTTATCGTATTTTAGTGCGAGTTGCTCTAATGTATTGGGCTAAGACATGACTGCAGTAACTGCAGTATCTGTATTTGTTGATATAAAAAATTGACTGTGGATGTGTGAATTTATCATCGTTCTAAATTTTATTATGCCAACTTTAGTATGATTACAGTACATCAATTTCTAAAGTCAAACCTGCATTTATCATTAAAGGAGTATTATAATTAATTTCAGGACAACGCTTAAAACATTCAGGCAAAATATGTATGTGATCTGAGATTATTTAATGTTTGTCAAATCTGTCCTTACTGAAATCTGACGTTAAAGATGTTTTGAAATCTATTAAGGTTCTACATGTATGTAGGATTAAATACTTGCCAAATCTATTATAAACGATATCAATAACCACAAGTCTGGTAATAAGCCCAGGTATGGCAATAAGCCTATGTCTGGTAATAACCCCAAACCTGGTAATAACCCCAAACCATATATATTGCTGTTACATAAAATTACTAATCAATTTAATGATATTATCCTGTTATTAATCCACCCCCTGATTTAAAGTCAGGAGCAATGTGTTGGACTCATGGACATATTCCAAAATAAATAGAGAATGGTGAGATTAATTACCAGTCAAACTTGCTCTTACTGACCCCTGACTTTACTGACCCCTGACTTTACCAACACTTAATTTTATTGACACCTGTTTTTTCTGCCACCTGACTTTATTGACCCCTGACTTTACTGACCCCTGACTTTACTGACATCAGACTTAAGAACTACTCTTCTGTGAATAACCTGAAATTTCTGACATACCAATCAAATGATCTAAATTTTCTTGACATCATTAAAGACTTGATTATGAATTTATTAGATGGCTACGATTTAGAATAACTTTTATTGAAAACTTCAGGAACACAGGGCACCATGATCACATACTAATACTATTAAAGATTTCCTGCCAGTTAGCTCGGCCAGTGATGTGGTGATTTCCTTGTGAACATAGATAATCACAAGTAGTGGGCTTATATCTATGATAAAAGAGTCCTCGAATAATAAAGGTTTCCTGTATTTACCATCTTTGAATCCTTAAGTACTGAACACTTCCTGTATCCAACACCATCAAATCTTCCTGTGTAAATCCTTGTACTATGAGAATTTCCTGATTCTGATCCTGTGGAGTTCGCCTTCTTTTTAAAAGTTATATTCATTCTTTTATGAATACTCATCCTCCAATTTTTTCAATATCAAATTCACTGTTCGTCCCATCAATGTCACCTTGGCCTCTGTCAACCACTATCATCCTCATCATGGTCTCTTTCTTTTCTTCTCTCCATCCTCAACAAGGTTTCTTTCTTTCTCAGTGTTGTCTCTATCATTCCATCTCAACAGATCAACAATTATTTACAGTAAACAGGCGAAGACAGATCGTCCAATATTATATACACTTATAATGAATATAGCTAAAATCTCTCTCTCTGTCTGCATACTAACTCAGCAGCTCAGTGCCTGTAACAAAACAAAAGTCTTTAAGTAACTCATCACCTAAACCCTCTTCAACGTAACCATTCACAATAAATTTTTCTCACATTATTCTTGTGTTATTGGGAGACAACAATTTTGTGTCATCTTTATGTGAAATTCCGTCAAATAATCTTCTCAAAATGATGGGAAATAACATAACAGATATCGTTTAACACACTTAACAAACAAAATCTAGGAAATGGTGGGTCACAACAAACGGGTGGTAAGGTTTATGGAGTTTTATTATATAATGGTGACTTTCAACTGTGTTTTATTTGTAAAGGGTTCAACTGATTTGACGTCGGCTCTCTTTATATCAATAAAACAGGATTCAAGGTTTTTCTTTACATTCAGATTCACTATAGAATAATGAGGATTAAGTTTTTTGCAGAATGACAGTAGATGTAACATTTTGATATCTGATTTCACAACAAGATTTTGAAGAAACTCACCATTGTGTTTGTGGGGCAAGTCTATCACATTGAGATGTACGTTTACTGGTGACACATGGTCATAGCCACCTTTAGATGACATCTGTGATTGTACTTCACCCATCTGAAATAACAGAGGTTAGAGGTTATAAAACATAAGGTCAAGGGTTATATTAAAGGTGATGATGATGCAGAGGTCAAGAGTCATAATCAAGAGTAATGATAGTATCAAGAGGTGAAGGTCATAATAAAGGATAATAACATCGAGGTCAAAGGTCACAATCATGGGTGGTGATAATATCGAGGTCAAAGTTCACAATCATGGGTAATAAAAATATACAGGTCAGGGTTCTATTGATAAAGTGTTACACTAACTGATGAAGCTGTGACATGGTATGTGTTTTTTGTCCCTTCAAAGTACTTCTTGTTTCGTGATCTGGAAATCACCGTGCTACTATAAAGTACAGTGAAGTTACCTCTATAACACTGTATGTGGTTTTTTGTCACTTCTAAGAACTTCTTGCTTGGTAATCAGTTCTTCTATAAGATACAGCATGTATAGTATAGTGTTTATTATTACCTTTATAAGACAGATCTACGTGTTGCTTGAACTCTTAACTATTTATAAACTCTATACATGATAAAACATACCGTGCTGTTGGAGGATGATACTCCATTGCCGATGTCACGTGACCCAATGTGCCCGGTGTGACGGAAGTCTGTTGGCTGTCCTATCATACTGGGGTCTATCCTACGTCGTCGCTTCTGTAACAACAATAAAAATATTGAGACTTCTAAACATTTACTGAGCACAATAACATGTGTAATACCTTTTCTTAATGAATGAAATACTTGTTGGCTTCATTAACAATGTCTGATATCAATTTATGTCAATTTTTTTTAAAGTTTTGAATTGAATACAAGAAAAAAGTAAAAAAAAAAAACAATTGAAAATATCATAAATGGCTACAAAAAAAACCCTTCTTAGAAAAATTCTAATATAACCATCCTGATAATGATTGAAGAGATTGCTGCTGGGGTCTAAAACCACTCAATTTTGACAATGTTTAAACACTAGTAGTGTTGAGCATAATAAACAGTACATGTTATTTGTAACGTTATAATCTACAATTTTTCTATGATTTCACACATTAATGTCATTTTCACCTTATGGCTCTGACCTTAGATTTTGACCTCTGACCTTTACCCTTTCAATTAGTCTCAATCTATGTCTACATATACACTTACATATTTAGATCAAATCAATCAATATCAGTTTATCTTATTCTAATCTCATTTTCATCACAAGAAATTTTCACTGTTTTTATATCTTCATGATGCATGTCTATGTTCTCAATGTTCACATGTTTTATTTTTCAGAACAGTTTTTATCCATGAATACTTGGGTATTTTTGGGAAAATATCTTCCCTTTATCCAGAATCCTACAAACCAACACTTGATAACTAATGCCATTTTTACTGATAAACTGGTGTTATAGAGACATTGTATATCTGTAAGATACAAGTATGTCAGGTCTGTTAGGGAGCATGTTACATAGTTATCTCCCCTTCCTCTCCCATAAATTGTATCCATATTTAATTACACATAAACAGGCTCACTGATAATATCACATACCTATAGTACAGGAGATAACACAGCAGGTTACATGTTTACTGTCAAGTCAATATTTTGAACACTGAAGCAGCGTTAATATATATTTCTTAATCAAGCTTTAAATAGCCCATGTTTACAGGCCAATTTTTATGATTTACATAAATAAAGTACTCTGAAGGAAGGTAAGGTACCAGACTAATGTTAAAGCCAAAATCAACACTTAAAAGTACACATTTTCTGTCTTACTGTTATATTGCACTGGTAAAGTGGATTCTGACATGATCAATCAATGTAGGGGGTACAGATCAGGATCAACATCTTTATTCTATAACAGTAAGTCTGGAAATAATGTACCTTTTTATATCATACTGCTATATCAACCACTGTCTTCTAATAAACCCATCCCCTGAATGTTAGCGAGACGTAAAGTGTAGACCCCTGGCTTGTACAGTCAACTGACTATGAGTGTACACTTCTCTTCTGATGTGTAATGGAGGTCATCATTTGCTTTGATACCATAGCTAGGGATCAGACCCTGGCCCTTCGGTGTTCTGAACGTATACTCAACTGATCAAACTAAAAGTTCTCTCTACTAAGTAAAATACTGCTGCCAGTTCCGTATACCTGGAAATGTTCAAGTTTTACTCATTTTGTCAATGAACAGGGAGGATGAATCTAAGATGTTGGCAGCACACTACATAACTGTTTTGTATAGTCAACTGAAGGTGATATGAGCATGAGGTGAAATCAACTATACAAGGACAAATATAGCTTCTTTGATCACAGTGTCTAAAATATGGCACCTGTCACACAAAATCATAAGATCTACATGCTGGGCAGTGAGCTTTACTAGAAGTTTTACCCCTAAACAAAACTACTGGTGGTATTAAGAGGATTGAAGGTTTGATGGTAGGCTATACTAGGTAGTGACATTCCTAGTAACAAGTCAGGCCTACGCTACTCTTTTAATTCATTGTGGATGTAAAACGACATTTCATTGGTCAATAATTGTTTGTTCGCTTGATTTATCTCTCCAGGAAAAGCCAGGGTCATTTTCAGGTGGGGTCTCCTTCTGGTAGCTGGTGGCTACCTCACTGAACAACATACAGAAGGTCGATTGTATGCTGATCAGAGTAATAAAGATAAAGTGTCATGCCAAAGGACATGACCACATTAGTAAAGACCGATCCATCTCTTAGCTTTCTAAGAAACACAAACCGCCACAAAAGATGTATCAAACCATAAACCTTCATCAGAGGTTACATAGACCTACACTTTAATCGACTGAGAAGCAAAATGATGATGACATGCTGTCCACTAATTTTTCGAATGCAGATCTCACCTGATTGTGATAGTTAATGATGTGACCTTGACCCCAATACCTCGTCAAAATAATGACCCCAAAAGGTCAACTTTAAATTTCACAGGTGTCAAATACTGTGGACAGAGTGACCAGAGATTCTTGAAACATCATCTGTTGAACTCTGTATGTACCATGGCTTTGTCTGACACTCAACCGATCAAGCTAAAGAGAAGTTCTCTTTATCCGAGTGGTATATTACAGCGAGTATATTACCAGGGTGACATACTCCCCTCCAGGAAAAACCTTGTCCTTCAGTTTTCCAGCGTTACAGTGATGCTTATGGTGCATGGCTAAGTATTACTCCTGGGTCCCTACATAGGCACCAATGTAACAGAGGTCATTTTTATTCCAATATACACTAGGATTCGAATCCAGGACCACTGGTTTACCAGTCTGACACTCAACTGATTGAGCTAAAGAGAAGTTCTTTCTAGGTGAGAGGGATATTGCAGCTATTATGTTTGCCTTGTCCTGTAATAAGCCCACACTGTGACTAGGAATCAGATGTAAAGAGTTGGTTCCCCGGGCTTATTAATGGATATACGTACAATATTCAGTATAACATGGTACTTACTGGCTGAGGTTGTTCTGTTATACAGCATGTAAAACAAAAGAGGGTATCGCCCATCTCCGCTCGCCGACAACCTGTAAACACAAAACACTCATTTGTTTCAAAATATTTTCCCAAATATCAGAAAAATAATTATCAAATTACAAAAGATTAATAGGATATTTCCAGGTCTTAAAAAGCCTATCTAAGCAAAATCAATTCCTTACATCACACAAGAATTCATTAATTTGTAATACTTCAGACTGTTAATGTAAAATCTAGGACAATATCACCCCAGCCTCCATCTGGTCCCTACAGACCTCTTAGCTGAGGGTATTACCCTTCAGTATATAAATCGGGAATTTTTAACCCTTTTCCTGTTTTTTGAACCCTCTTTGTACCAAACACACACACACCAACAATCCACATATCCTGTATCAATCCGTTCAGCTTAAACTGTTTTATGAATTTCCTATCATCAAAGTATCAAGGGATCTATCATGTAGCACCAGTATTAAGGAGAAAACCACTACAGCTTGATCTGTGTATATACATTGTACAAACACTGAACCTCCCCAGTGTTCCATTGATATGTGGTTTTAAATTTCTGTCAAAACATGTTATCTGTAAGGAAAACTAATCAGGGCTTCACTTTCTGTACATCTTGTATTTTAATCCCTGCACATCAAATTCTATTTTTACCAATAACTTATCAATGGTAAAACATATGTAAGACTACAATGCATCTACATATAAGTATGTTTTATACGATATCAATATTGATCTTCATACATAAATCATTTAATCAAAATAATCACATAATTTCCAAAACATCCTCAAGATGTTTCCCTTCAACTAATTTAGATATTATTTTAGTGAAATGAAATTTTATTTCACAAATATTTGTTAAAGTTATGTGGTATACAGAATATTCACTTTGTTTCCATTTCCTGAACCTCATGTAAACACAGACACATTATGCTCTCCTGCATAGAGTTCAGATCGAGTTAAATTTTTCAACCATGACTAATTAGTAAAATTTTTAATTACATTTAGAGTTTATAACATATAAACAATTCACGTGTGTTGTTCTCAAGTATGAATATTGACAGACGTAAGTGTTAATGCCGTGTGTCATCACTGTATATCTGTACACTTCAGACACCTACACAATAAATGCGGCATCATATAAGATACACAACCCATGATTATATGTCATTTACATCTTAAAATATACTTTGTAAATCATGTTTGGTCCAAAGTTTAACTTATGTGGTCAATTTGCTGTATATTGATATATACCATGGTAACTATGACTCTATGAATGACGCTACTTGACCATAAAGTGACCACTTACTGTCTCATCATCAAACTACTTGATGCATGTCATCCGGTAGTTTGTAAGTGAGCTTCATGCCTGTGGCATCGAGTTATTTTAAGTTATTATGTTACATTTTCGAAACTGACTGTTGGTTTGTTGTGTTAATAGTCTAATAGCCACCTCCTGCCTTCCCCTCTATAATTGTACATTACTGGATTATCTCCCCCTATAATTGTACACTACTGGATTATCTTCCCCTATAATTGTACACTACTTGATCCCCCACCCCATAATTGTACACTACTGGATTACCTCCCCCCCTATAATTGTACATTACTGGATTACCTCCCCCCTATAATTGTACATTACTGGATTACCTCCCCCCTATAATTGTACATTACTGGATTACCTCCCCCTATAATTGTACATTACTGGATTACCTCCCCCTATAATTGTACATTACTGGATTACCTCCCCCTATAATTGTACATTACTGGATTACCTCCCCCTATAATTGTACATTACTGGATTACCTCCCCCTGTAATTGTACATTACTGGATTACCTCCCCCTGTAATTGTACATTACTGGATTACCTCCCCCTATAATTGTACATTACTGGATTACCTCCCCCTATAATTGTACATTACTGGATTACCTCCCCCTATAATTGTACATTACTGGATTACCTCCCCCTATAATTGTACATTACTGGATTACCTCCCCCCCTATAATTGTACACTACTGGATTACCTCCCCCTATAATTGTACATTACTGGATTACCTCCCCCTATAATTGTACATTACTGGATTACCTCCCCCCCTATAATTGTACATTACTGGATTACCTCCCCCTATAATTGTACATTACTGGATTACCTCCCCCTATAATTGTACATTACTGGATTACCTCCCCCTATAATTGTACATTACTGGATTACCTCCCCCCTATAATTGTACATTACTGGATTACCTCCCCCTATAATTGTACATTACTGGATTACCTTCCCCCCTATAATTGTACATTACTGGATTACCTCCCCCTATAATTGTACATTACTGGATTACCTCCCCCTATAATTGTACACTAGGTAGCAGTACACAGTTTCTCGGTGTGGCCATGGGTGATTTTTTTGCTCATTAGATTACCCTATTATAAAGGTTTTAATTAAAAATGAAAAAAAATCCTTGCTAAAATTGGTCCTGTCATGTTAAAGTGGACAATGTGGGGTTTCATTTTTTTCAGGATAATATTTTAGCTTTGTGTTGGAGATTACTATTTGGGCAGTCTCGAATCTGTGTCTACGCACCAAAAACTAGCTTTACAGGAAGTGAAATTTTCATAGTGCTGAAATGTAAGTACTTTGTTACCATGACAGTGTTGTTGATTGTAAGATAGGTGTTTAGAATTAAATTTCTCCTAGAAAGTTGTAGTGTTGGGTTGGAATTAGCAGTATTTTTGCATTTTTAGCATTTTTTCAGTAGGTAACCATGACAATCAAATGTCAGAAATCAGAGGAAATTTTTTTTTTACACAAATTTCATCTCTCTACTGTTAATGTAATTGTTATATAGTTTATAAATATATATACATGTAATAATGTATTTTTCATAACCAATCTGCTATACCTGTATATCTCAAACATGACAAATAATTTCAGGAAAAATGCAAATTAACTGTTTACTGCTACCTTATAGCACATTAAAAAAAAATTATTTATTTAAAATGTGCTTTACTATGTTTGATTAAGTTTAATCCTCTCCATAATTGCTATAAATACATAAAAAACACACTGAAACTTGTTCATAATGATTTTATTTTAATTTCATTAGGGGTGCATAAAGGGAGGTAATTTGGGTGCTCTTGTGGGTGAGAATTTCAGCTGTTTTCAAAAGGCTTGGTGTCAGTTTGAAAACTGTTCTACAGTAGGTAACAGGTATAAAATAAGTCAGTAACAACCTTAGAATGTATTTAGACTGGATTATAGGGCAATTCCAATAGTTTAAGGTGTGGTATCCATGGTAATTGTACAAGGAAAGTATGAGTTTTTGAACTTTGGATAAATTCTCTGTTTTGATGATTTTTACTCAATAATGTGTGTTTATTTCTCATAGATTGGGCATAAATCATGTTAATATTGTCATCAAATGACATTTCCATAGTTACTGCTGTAAAAAATACTATTTTTCGAACAATATTGCAATGTCATAGGGTTTCTAATATTACACTTGAAGAAGGGTGGGGGGCAGTAATCATAGGTGTTTGTGATGTCATACACATGACATTTAAGAATATCTAATGTCATTTCACCGTTAATTACTTTCGAGAAATGTGTTAGATGCTAATTTGAAGTTTTTGTTGGATTTCTAGCCTTCACTATGACATCACAGTGCATTGGTGAAGCCATCATTAACAATTGATGACGTCATATACTGATGACATCAGCTGTTACCATGACGTCATAACATCAGACTTTATATATGTAGTATCAATCTGCTTTTCAGTTATCTAAATTCACAGAAGCACAAACTACTTGATTCAGTTTCAATTGCAACTTTATTCAAGTAAATTTAAGACTTATTGAGGTTTTAATTTTTCAAATTACCTCCCTTTCTTCCTAATTTGAGAGCAGAATTGGTCAAAACACACCATAATTGTACATGCGGGAAAATTATGTTACTCGATAGCTATTCGAGATACACAGTAAAGCGATATATCGTTTTGTTCGTGTGATCATTTTCTAGACACTCAGAGGGATTTTAATGAAATTAAAAAAACTAATTGTGATGTATAAGGTAGCAGTACACAGTTTCTCGGTGTGGCCATGGGTGATTTTTTTGCTCATTAGATTACCCTATTATAAAGGTTTTAATTAAAAAAGAAAAAAAAATCCTTGCTAAAATTGGTCCTGTCATGTTAAAGTGGACAATGTGGGGTTTCATTTTTTTCAGGATAATATTTTAGCTTTGTGTTGGAGATTACTATTTGGGCAGTCTGGATTACCTCTGTGTCTACCCCAAAAACTAGCTTTACAGGAAGTGAAATTTTCATAGTGTTTCATAGAGTTGGAATTTGCTGAAATGTAAGTACTTTGTTACCATGACAGTGTTGTTGATTGTAAGATAGGTGTTTAGAATTAAATTTCTCCTATAATTGTACATTTGGGTTGGAATTACCAGTATTTTTGCATTTTTAGCATTTTTTCATTACCTAACCATGACAATCAAATGTCAGAAATCAGAGGAAATTTTTTTTTTACACAAATTTCATCTCTCTACTGTTAATGTAATTGTTATACAGTTTATAAATATATATACATGTAATGATGTATTTTTCATAACCAATCTGCTATACCTGTATATCTCAAACATGACAAATAATTTCAGGAAAAATGCAAATTAACTGTTTACTGCTACCCTACTGGATTACCACCCCCTATAATTGTACATTACTGGATTACCTCCCCCCTATAATTGTACATTACTGGATTACCTCCCCCTATAATTGTACATTACTGGATTACCACCCCCTATAATTGTACATTACTGGATTACCACCCCCTATAATTGTACATTACTGGATTACCTCCCCCTATAATTGTACATTACTGGATTACCACCCCCTATAATTGTACATTACTGGATTACCTCCCCCTATAATTGTACATTACTGGATTACCTCCCCCCTATAATTGTACATTACTGGATTACCTCCCCCCTATAATTGTACCTCCCCCTATAATTGTACATTACTGGATTACCTCCCCCTATAATT